TTCTATAACTTTCAGTAGAGAGGAGGTAGGCGTCCAACACTGCTTGTTTCAGAGTGTAGTAGTCATTCTCAGACGCCAAAGTACTGAGTGTGACTGCAGCTCTACCTGTAAGATGGACTCTGAGAAGTGTTGCCCATTGGTCGACAGGCCAACTGAGTTGATTAGCAAGGGTTTCAAAGGTGGTAAAGAACACATCAACTTCTGCTTCTACAAAGGATGGCATTAACTTACTTGCATGTGATATATTAAAACTGACGGGAAGATTGGCAGTAGCTTGCTGGCGTTGAGCGAGGTGTGAAGTTTCCAACGTGTATTCCCGTTGACGACACTCAAGAGCCAGAGTCGCTTGTTGCTTGTCATGTTCGCGTTGTATTTCCAACTCGCGTTGTTTGGTTTCAAGCTGTAAGCGTTCCCGCTCCTGGAGTGTTTCAAGCTGTACTCGTTCACGTTCACGGAGCATTGCCAACTCACGTTCCTTGAGGGCGATCTCTTCCCTTCGTATGTCAGCTGCTTCCCTTTGCTGTTCACGGGCTTCCCTTTGCTGCTCACGTTCAATCTTGGCCAGCTCTAGTTTGAGTTTCAGCGTTGCCAAATCAGTTTTATCTGCAATATAGTAAGTTTCATGAGTTTCAGAGTCTATCTTACCTTGCTCTAAATAGTAATCCAGCAACAGGTTGTGTAGGTCATTTTTGTTGGCTTGGTAGGGAACTTCTAGTTGATACTCATGTGCAAGAGTTTGTAGTTCAGTCCTCTTGGCACGACTTAAAGTCCCTATTTCACCTGCTGGATTTGCACGGAAAGTTTGGAGACGAAACATGGTGAAATTAGCAAATAAAGGTACACGAATGTTCAATAATGAAATGTCAGAAACAGGACAACGTGGCAACTGGTACCTATCCTGTGTGATCTTTAACAATTAACGTTAAGTGAAAGATATTAAATGATTAAATTAAATCAAGGGCGCAGGAAATCTTGTACCCGGTACTCATGTAAGAGAATAAGGGCAAGAAAATCCTACTAACAAATGAAACAAAGTTTCGAAAACAAATGAAACAGTTAAATGCTTCAAAAGTAAAATTGGTAGTCCAAGGATGTAGGCATACCTTGCCAAGTCTCTATAGGACATAAAGCAAGTTTTTCCTACTGAATTTAATATGATACTTACAGAATTAGCGAACTTTTGTGCTCTGAAAAAATAAGCTAATTCCCTACCGTTGTATGTATCATCATCTCTGACTGACGTGTAGGGGTGCGAGGTGTCAACTGGTGACGAGAACTGCTGCTGAGGTCCCAATTCAGCAACTAAAGTTCGAGCTAGAGGAACTATGGCCCTCTTTGTCCTCCTACAGTCAGATTGCAGAAGATTGGGTACTCTTGACCCGGGGCAGACCACAGTACCAGGGTACCAATATGATGATCTGTCAGAATGAGAAATATTCAAGGGACATAGATGGTAAATACGAGTAATAACATGGAGGGAGAGATGACCAATTAAGAGTATGACTGAGGCCTACAGTCACCACGTAATCCAAAGTTGTCTCACCTTCACTATATGTTACTCTCGTAATGCACAATACACCGCACCTTATAAAAAATGAAATTGAATGAAAAATAGTAAAGCTACGTTAACAAAGTTAAATACGCTTACCATAAATTACCACTTGGCACCAGTACCTGAGTGAGGCTCCCGGACAGGCCCCCATATAACTTGTGACGGTAACGCGTTGGTGTTCGGCTGTTTAAGGCTAGGGGTATGGCCTCGTCACATAGTTATAAAAAAAAATAGAAAAACTGGAACTTCGTCTGTGGTAAGGTAAGGAGAAGACACACAAAACACAAGTAAACTTTAACAATGAAATTTTAATTACGTTAAATAAATCAAAACATGAAAATAATGCACAAACAAATTCTTATAATAAAATCAATGAATCAAAATAATAAGAATACTTAAATGACACAATGAAAGTTACGTTAAGGCAAAATAATAAGAAGTGCAACACAAAAGTTAAGTGGGAGGTGCTGGAATATTGGCTTAAAGCCACCACCTCTCTCAGTACACGCTAACGTCTAGCTGGGAGGAGTGCTGGCTACGAAAGCACGGAACATTCTGAGGACTGATGTTGGGGCGACCCCAGACATCAGGTAGTATTGGGGGCGAGTGCAGGTGCAGCCAGACCGGCGACCAATCAGCGGAGCCGTAGCGATCAACGGGTAGTTTGGTGGTTGGAGTTCGAACAGGTGGCTGGTTGCATACGTTTCTGCTCACCCTGGCAAGCCTTGCTGGTGCTGGTGTTGTTGTCGTTGTTGGACATTTCTTCCATAGTCTTTTTATATAATTGTGAAGACGTAATTTTGGAGGGAAGAGCAGGCTCAATCTCTTGAAGGAGATTATCGTCACAATATATATATATATATATATATATATATATATATATATATATATATATGTGACCTGTTACAATAGTTTTGGATGAGGTGAAAATAAACTTTTAACACAAGACAGAACACGAAACAATGAAATACAAACAGGTATTAAAAGTAGGTAACTGCAGAAGGCCTATTTTTATTGGCCCATATTTCTTGATGCTTCTATATTTAAGCGGAGTCTACCCACTTCAAGACTCTGCTCCAATATAGAGGCATCAAGAAATATGGGCCAATAAAAATAGGCCTTCTGCAGCTACCTACTTTTAATGTTAGTTACTAAGTTACTAAGCTAGTTACTAGGTCTACAGCCATCACCTCACTATATTCTCTCTCACCACCTTCCCTACCCATCACCACCGCCCAACCACTTGGACTAAACGGTAGAGCGACGGTCGCACTTCATGCAGGTCGGCGTTCAATCCCCGACCATCCAAGTGGTTGGGCAACGTTCCATACCAAGTCCTTACCAGATCCGTTCCCAGTGTTATTTAGTCGTAATGGCTTGGCGCTTTCCTATGATTCTCCTTTCCCTTCGCTTCTCTTCATTCTCTACCCATCGTCACCTTCCCCAACAATCACCACCTTTCCTACCCTTCAAATCCTGTCCTACTATTCACAACCTTCCCTTTCCTTCACCACCTTCCCTTCCCTTCACCACCTTCCCTATTCTTCACCTCCTTCTCTATCCTTCATCCCATGTCATCTTCTTTCCATCAACATCCATCAAACAACCTGTCCTCTTTCAGAGAACGTCACATTTCGTTCGTATGCGTTACATAAGACCTTAAATTGTAGTACTAGAAAATAGAAGCGGCTCGCGAAAATGACGTGCTGTCACTTTTTCTGTTTTTTGGGTCCTCTGGTAGGTTAGGACAGACACTTTAAATGGACTGTTTTCTTGACGTTGGGATACCTTAGGAGAAAGGGCTGCTTTATTTCCTTCCAAGCCACACTCATACTTCATTACCGTTCACTTTCTTCAGCACATTTCCTACATTAGTTCAACTCCTTTAACTGCATGGTAGAACGATTGCTTCGCATCTTGCAGGTCGGCGTTCAAGGGGCCCAAATACAGCGTACCAGTTGGGAGATGAAAAGCTTCATGAATCAGATAGTAGGACCTGGCAACTGGTAGCACGCCGGACCTGAAGGTTTGGTGAGTTACCAAGACCTTCAGGAGACAGTGAGGATATCATTTGTCGCTGATGATATCCATATCAAGTGGATATCATCAGGGGCATATGCTAGGTGAACCAATATAAAAACTGCCTTTAGAAACGTGTGTAAGGAATCTTTTGTACCTTATGGACCACATCTGTCAGACTAATCCTGGAGTATGCAGCTCCAGCATGTAGTCCGTATCTAGTCAAGCTCAAGACTAAACTGGAGAAGGTTCAAAGCTATGCCACCAGACTAGTGCTTGAGCTGAGAGGCATGAGCTACGAGGAGGAACTACGATTACTGATTCCCCCATCAATGGAAAAAAGAAAAGTTAGTAGTTTTGAAACAGAAAATATGATCACTACATAAAAAATTCTCAGAGGATTTCGTAGAGTAGATACAGTCAGTGTTTTTAACACAGGTGGTACACGCACAATGGGAAAATAGGTGTAAGGTGAGTACCCAGATAAGCCATTGATATATTAGAAGGATTCTTTTTAGTTTATGAATAGTTAACAAATGGACTGCACTAGGCAGTGATGTGGTGGAGGCAGTCTAAATACACAGTATCAAATGCAGATATGACAGAGCTGAATTGGATCAGGAATCTGTACACCAGTTGACTGACGGTCGAGAGGCTGGACCAAAGAACCTAAGAGCCACCCCCGCCAGCACTATTAGGTGAGTAACTTGATAAACCCAAGAAATTCGAAACCATACACCTGCGCAATTGCATAAGGAGGAGAATGTGTCCCTTGCTCACTAAGCCTGGCAGATATATGCAAGGCCGGCGGCCTGGGGATCAAGAGGAGAGAAATGCATTGCTTGCAATCATATTGATGTCAGATTAATTAATAGTCACGAGGAGCGCCAGTCGGAATAAAGTTCACACGAGAACCGTTTAAAGTTGTCACCCCATCTCTCCCTCTCTCTCTCCCTTCCTCACACCTTCCCCATACCAGCACCTCAAACAGACAGATACCACTTGCCCTATAGATACCTACAGGCACACTTACACTTACCCATACAGTGACCAGTATCAAGATACCTACAGGGCTACTTAAACCAGTAATAATCACTACAGTGACTCAAAGATTTCATCCTAACACAACGGTGATTCCTTGCATGTTACGCCAACAGCACTAATCATCACAGTAACTCCTCCCCCCACCTCTACAGTGGCATCTGACTGAAACTAACAGTTACTCCTACAGTGACCGCTGGCAGTGATTCATGTTTGTGATTCAAACGTATGACACTAAAGGGTTTCTCTCAGTGATCTTTACAGTGACCCAAGGCAGTGATGCCTGCCTTCATAGCAACAGTACTCGCATTGTGACGACCCATACAGTGACCTCTTTACCGTAGGGAAATTCAGTGCCCCAAGAGTGTTCCCTTCGGTGACCCAAGATATGGAACCAACAGTGCTCCCAACAGTGACCCAAGAGGTGGACACAACAGTGCTCCCAAGATGTGGATTCAACAGTGACCCAAGATATGGACCCAACAGTGCTCCCAACAGTGACCCAAGATGTGGACCCAACAGTGACCTAAAATGTGGACCGAACAGTGATCCAAGATGTGGACCGAACAGTGACCCAATATGTGCACCCAACAGTGATCCAAGATGTGAACCCAACAGTGCTCCCATCAGTGACCCAAGATGTGGACCTAACAGTGACCCAGGATGTGGACCCAACAGTGACCCAAGATGTGAACCCAACAGTGCTCCCTGCAATGACCCAAGATGTGGACCCAACAGTGACCCCAAGATGTGGACCCAACAGTGCTCCCTGCAATGACCCAAGATGTGGACCCAACAGTGACCCAAGATGTGGACCCAACAGTGACCCAAGATGTGGACCCAACAGTGCTCCCTGCAGTGACCCAAGATGTGGACCCAAGATGTGGACAAAACAGTGATCCAGGATGTGGACCCAACAGTGACCCATGATGTGAACCCAACAGTGGCCAAAGATGTGGACCCAACAGTGCTCCCAACAGAGACCCAAGATGTGGACCCAACAGTGACCTAAAATGTGGACCGAACAGTGATCCAAGATGAGGACCGAACAGTGACCCAAGATGTGGACCCAACAGTGCTCCTTGCAGTGACCCAGGATGTGGACCCCAACAGTGACCCAAGATGTGGACCCAACAGTGACCCAAGATGTGGACCTAACAGTGACCCAAGATGTGGACCCAACAGTGACCCAAGATGTGGACCCAGCAGTGACCCAGGATGTGGGACCCAACAGTGACCCAAGATGTGGACCCATCAGTGGCCCAAGATGTGGACCCAACAGTGACCCAAGATGTGGACCCAGCAGTGACCCAGGATGTGGGACCCAACAGTGACCCAAGATGTGGATCCAACAGTGACCCAAAATGTGGACCTAACAGTGACCCAAGATGTGGACCCAACAGTGACCCAAGATGTGGACCCAACAGTGACCCAAGATGTGGACCCAACAGTGACCCAAGATGTGGACCCAACAGTGACCCAAGATGTGGACCCAACAGTGACCCAAGATGTGTACCCAACAGCGACCCAAGATGTGGGGTTAACAGTGACCCAGGATGTGGGACCCAAAGGAGACCCAGGATTTGAGACCCAACAGTGACCCAAGATGTGGACCCAACAGTGACCCAGGATGTAGGACCCAACAGTGACCCAAGATGTGGATCCAACAGTGACCCAAGATGTGGACCCAACAGTGACCCAAGATGTGGACCCAACAGTGACCCAAGATGTGGAACCAACAGTGACCCAAGATGTGGACCCAATAGTGACCCAAGATGTGTACCCAACAGTGATTCAAGATGTGGACTCAACAGTGACCCAGGATGTGGGACCCAACAGTGACCCAAGATGTGGACCTAAGATGTGGACCCAACAGTGACCCAGGATGTGGGACCCAACAGTGACCCAAGATGTGGACCTAAGATGTGGACCCAACAGTGACCCAGGATGTGGGTCCCGACAGTGACCCAAGATGTGGACCAAACAGTGACCCCAAGATGTGGACCCAACAGTGTTCCCAACAGTGACCCAAGATGTGGACCCAACAGTGATCCAAGATGTGGACCCAACAGTGACCCAAGAAGTGGACCCAACAGTGACCCCAAGATGTGGACCCAACAGTGACCCAAGATGTGGACCCAACAGTGTTCCCAACAGTGACCCAAGATGTGGACCCAACAGTGTTCCCAACAGTGACCTAAGATGTGGACCCAACAGTGACCCAAGATGTGGACCCAACAGTGACCCCAAGATGTGGACCCAACAGTGTTCCCAACAGTGACCCAAGATGTGGACCCAACAGTGATCCAAGATGTGGACCAAACAGTGACCCAAGATGTGGACCCAACAGTGACCCCAAGATGTGGACCCAACAGTGTTCCCAACAGTGACCCAAGATGTGGACCCAACAGTGATCCAAGATGTGGACCCAACAGTGAACCAAGAAGTGGACCCAACAGTGACCCAAGATGTGGACCCAACAGTGACCCAAGAAGTGGACCCAACAGTGACCCAAGATGTGGACCCAACAGCGTTCCCAACAGTACCCCAAGATGTGGACCCAACAGTGTTCCCAACAGTGACCCAAGATGTGGACCCAACAGTGTTCCCAACAGTGACCCAAGATGTGGACCCAACAGTGACCCAAGATGTGGACCCAACAGTGCTCCCTACAGTGACCCAAGATGTGGAGCCAACAGTGAGCCAAGATGTGGACCCAACAGTGACCCCAAAATATGGACCCAACAGTGTTCCCTACAGTGACCCAAGATATGGACCTAACAGTGCCTTCAACAGTGACCCAAGATGTGGACCCAACAGTGACCCAAGATGTGAACCTAACAGTGACCTAATATGTGGATCCAACAGTGACCCAAAATGTGGACCCAACAGTGACCTAAGATGTGGACCCAACAGTGACCCAAGATGTGGACCCAACAGTGACCCAAGATGTGGACCCAACAGTGACCCAAGATGTGGAACCAACAGTGCTCCCTACAGTGACCCAAGATGTGGACCCAACAGTGACGCAAGATGTTGACCCAACAGTGCTCCCAACAGTGACCCAAGATGTGGACCCAACAGTGCTCCCTACAGTGACCCAAGATGTGGACCCAACAGTGTTCCCTACAGTTATCTCTCACAGTGACACCAACAGAGGCCAACACAGTAATACCTGCAGTGACTTCAAAGGTGAACCTCTACTTTGACTCCTAACAATGACCTGTTTAGTGATATTAATCCTAAATATGACCTATGTCAGAGATCCCTTCAGTGACTCCTAATATGACCTCTACTTTGTGCCCTCACAGTGACCCCTTCCCCTCCATTACCGCAGTCTCCCCTAAAGTGATCTCTGACAGTGATATCTACAACACATAACTAAGAAAGTCTCTAAAACAGTTGGTATACTCTTCAAAATCAGATATTATGTACCTAACTCTGCTCTCATCTCTCTATATTATGCACTAATCTATCCCTATCTTAATTATGGTATCTGTGCATGGGGTTCAACCACTGCAAACCACCTCAAGTCCATCATTACCCAGCAAAAATCTGCTATCAGAATAATAACAAATTCTGCTTTCAGACTACACTCAGCCCCCTTGTTTAACTCCCTAAACATGCTAAGCATAATCTCACTCCACAAATTCTCTTGTGTCAATTACATTTACAAAACCCTGTTCTTAAATGCAAATCCTGCTCTGAAACTCTTCCTGGACAGATGTAATAGGACCCATTATCACCATACCAGAAATAAATATCTCTTTGATATCCCCAGAGTCAAACTTAATTTGTGTAAACACTCTATGCAAATAAAGGAACCCAGTCTATGGAACTCACTCCCTATTGAATTGAAAAGCTGTCCAACTTTTGCATAACAACCTTAAAACACCTACAGTAACACATGCTCATAACCCATCGTGGGAGGCAGTTTCAATTTTTTTTCAACATTTCATTCCAATTACACAAAAGAACCAATTATTTCAGATACAACATGAGTTTAATTGGAATAAAATGAACCAACTCTGAGTATTGCTACCGTGCACCCTCCTTTAAATTTCTAAAAATTTGCGAACAACACCCCCAGCGGGGAGCCCATGGCGACGCCATCCACTTGCTTATACATGTGTCCGTCAGGACTTAAGAAGGGTGCTGCCTCTTTCTTGTTCACAAACTTTTACATGTGTACTATTGAGCAGAGGGTTCTGGTAGGATTAGACGTAAAACCCACCATCTACTGCAGGTATGTCGACGACATATTTGTTCAAGTCCCGGATACCGAATGACTGTTGCAGTGTAATAAAGCTTTCGAGCAACACCTAGATTTAAACTTCACTTAAGAGATGGAGAGTGGAGAGATGGGAGGGGGGGTAACTTGCCTTTCTTAGATGTAGCAGTCATGGAAAGGAACGGCAGCTTTCATCATACAGTATAACTAAGGAGACAAACATAAAAATGTGCCTTAATGCTGACAGCGAAAGCTTGGAGAGATACAAACGGAGTTTTATGAACGCTTACGTCGACCGAGCTCTCACTCACAGCTCTGGGTGGAAGCAGGTGGATGAGGAGTTATGTAGAATTAGCAAGATCTTGGTCAATAATGGTTTCTCCAATGGTTATGTCGAAGACATCATAAAAAGGAAAGTAGCGAGGTGTGCAACAGGCGACGGAACAACTAATACCACAATACCCGTGCTTCTAATAACATTGTTCTACAGAAACTTCCTCTCCTCGGCCTACAAAGTAGAGAAACGAGCCGTAAAAGAGACCATTGAGAGGAACGTTACCCCAACTGACGTCAACCATAAGATAAAGCTAACAATATATTATAAGAGTGGGAAAATCGCCAACCTGCTGTATATACAGGCACGACAACATCTCTTTCAAGACGCCTACAGTGCACGAACACCATGGCCTCATCAAGGAACATATAGTCTCTACACATCCAGATCATCTCCAGAGACATCCTGGAAAACAACGCAAAAATAATTTACAAATATAACGACAATAGAAGATTGGCGAGGCTTTATACATCAAGAGTGACATGATTTAAAAAACAGGTGACCTATGATTATATTAAAACAAGTTATAGAAACTCGTTTGATATGAAAATATAATATTTGACCTGCTAGATAACAATGCATGTCGAAACACAGAAGTAATGTTGGTCACTATCAGAGTAGATATTATACAAACGTCAGATTAAATTTAATCAAATATTTTTTTTTTCATTTCAACTTCCGTGGTCAAACATTGCTCTTAGCTCACTAATTCCATAATGTGCATTCGTGTGTAGCACCAAAATCTCTGATTGACTGTTTTCCACTTTAAAAGTTCCTTAGGACGAAGTAATTCACTCCCCTTCCTATCCTTCACTTCTCGCCCGTTTCTCTCTCATATGTTGAAAACACACACTCTGAATACATATATGTTTTCTCCAACTCCCTCCATGTTACTGAACGATGCTTTACATCAAAGCGTTCCCGCTAGGCAGCCTCTACACATCAACGCCCTTCCCCTGCAAACGGCCTTCTTAGATATATATATATTCCTTTGACGCCGATCTTCAAGGGAAAAGGTGAAATATTAAATCAAGAAAATTTGATTTACATTTCAATTTTGATGTCTTCAATAACCCTCTTCGTATTTTTGGACTCAAGATCATATTTTTCGGAATATTATTTGATTCCAAATATTGTTGATCAGTTGCACATATTTCCTCTACATTTATCAGTACAATGACAAGTTTATTTATTTCAAGTGTTTCTTCCTTTA